ATATATATACACACGTACGTTTCATTTAGGTATTTGATATCAAACAGCAGTATTTCAGTTACCTACCAAATATACATCTGTTAAGTTTCATTTACCTTTCTTTTACGTTACAGTGGTACGTATTTGTTACCATTCTGAAATCAAGGTAAAACGGCCATCGATAGCAATTTGTTAAGTATCTGATACATATCAGATCGACAACCGACACATATCTGTAATAGTGTCAATTTCTTTTTGAAAGCTAACGGTTAGGCTTCTGATACATATCTGTGTGGATTCGTGCTGTCTGGGCATTGTGTAGGAGCCTTTACTTCGTAAACGCTTCTGACGGTATCTGCCCATGTATATAGAACTCGTGAAAAGCAGAGAGTGCATTAACATAATTCCACTGAGTCTCTTGTAAGCACTTTAAGCTCCATTCCAGATTCATATTTGTCTGCTGACTTAACGTCACCGTCATTTGCTGTTTTATTTCGTCGCTAAGTTCTGTTGTCATCGGTTTCACTACTTCTGAAGTTTCCAACGGCACCGTCTGCGGTTGACTTCTGAGCTGATTCAGTTGCTGATGCAGTTGCTTCAATTGCGCCTCAGACGGCTGACTAATGTGCAACTGCTCATTTCGAATACAGTATCCCTCACCTTCCGGAACAATTATGAAGGTGCGGTTGAAGTAACGAATGGGCTCGTCTTTATCAAGTTCTTGAAAGTAACCCGTTATAGTAATGAACATCATTGCTTGCTGTAAATACATAAAAACTAATTGACTTATTTGTTTTCAAATAATCAAAAATAAATTATAAGTTTGTCTTTATCTCACATATAAGTAATAAAATGTAATACACAACAGTATAATAGGATTACTTACTGTTGCAAGAGTGATGTCCATGGTAAAGGTATTCAATAAATGCCATGTCTTTGGCATTTCCGATATAAACGACACTACAGGCAATCTACCCTGTTTCAATAACTTATGTCTTCTATTTGAATCAATTGTTCTAAATATGTTTCTATTCTCCGTGTAATACCCATTTAACTTGCGGAAATTGCTTTTCGTCAAGCTTAAGCATGCATTTTCGGCGTATGCATCGAGTAAAGGTTGACGATTATCGCTATCAAATATCGTGAAGTATTGTTGCAAAAACTGGCTCGCTATCTCTTGAATTTTAGGATCCGAAACAAACATTCTTTGCGATGGAGGTATCCTGGCAGTTATGTCGATAGCATCAAAAATAATTGAACGCGGTAATTCTATGCCATCCAATCGTAGCAACTTGGGGAATCTCTTTCGAACGTCACTTGTGTAATCACTGTGGCAAGACTTATACCTGTTGCATACAGGGTTTCCCGATAATTTTAATTCTTCCAATTTTAATTCCTTAATACCATTTAATTGGTGAATATCTTTGATCTAAAATATGCAATAAATCAGGTTTTAAAACCGGGACATTATATTGACGATCATGTCATATATATATTTTTTATTCGCGCGGTCACTTACCTTATTATCACCAATATAAAGAATCTTCAATTTCGAGAACTTCTTATTCAACACCTCAAGTCTCTCGAGATTCTGTAACTTGTTGCCTTCTAAGTTCAATGCTTCTAGATTCGGAATGTGTTCCCCAACAATATCTAACACAGCCATCAACATAACAGGGTGACACAACGCATAAAAGTAATCCGAGTAAAGATCTGTAAGGCGAAAAATTACATGTAGTTTGAACTTACAAGTCTTATTAATATCTTTAATATATTTATAGGGATCGTCTGATATT